CGCAGAGGTCGTGGCGTCAGACTATGGACTTACGAAGGAGACTGAAGGTTCTGACAAGAACGAGGTCTCGCAAGAGCAGGCAGCGGAGGAGCCCTACAGTGAGGAATCCAAGCCAGACGAATCACTTTCCAAGGAAAAGAAGGAGGAAGTCTTAGATGGCTTGCCCTCGGTGCCATCGTAAAGGTGATGGTTTGGGATCTGGCGTTCTTCCCCTCTCTGGGGTCTAGACGGTAAATGGTTACATGACTGAACGTTTTAAAATATATATGTAAGAGTATATGTACAATCACAAGGATACGGAGGTGTCGATACCAGGAAATGAATAGACAAGAACAAGTAACGTCTTTACTACAATCTTACACATCGCTCAATGCATTATAAGATTCTCCAAAAAGCAATGTTGTGTGACGCGGGGTGGTAGACCAACCGTCTGCATGAAGCCTGACCCCTGCTCCGCCGGCATTAGCGACATCATCGCTCCGCTGCCCGCATGCTCCTCCGCGAAGCTCGTTCTTCTAGAAGCTCCCCGCCATGCAGCCTCACCTATGAGCGCGACTTGCCCACTCTACACCCGATCGATACACGCCTGCCTGCTACGTCTGAGCGGCTGCCGTTTGCTCGTCTTGGCACCTGCGCTGCCGTTCCCACCTCACTTGCGCCGGCTTGCTCGCCGCCCGCCCGCATCAAAGATCTCAAGTGCGCCAACATTGCCATCACCACGCACGCTACACCGCACACGCAGCAACCATGTCGGACGCTCAAATAGAAGAAAACATCGACCTCCTCTTTAATTTCGGGGTGGAACAGCTTGACAGACAGGAAGCCAGGCAACTTCTCGCGGTATGTCCAAATAGCCCGCAACCTGTTTGCGCTTTGCGACAAACCTCTAACTACGGGTATAGAACCATGGCAACAATGTCGAGGCCGCCATGGACAAGTACTTCAGTAGCATGGACCAAGGAGGTATTTCTGCTTTGAAGACCCATCTGCGCAACTCACAGGCCAAGTGGGACGAGACTGCCTTTGCGGGGGCCGGCTACGGTATAGACGACACCAACGTTCCCAGTACGTCAGCTCAGGCTTGGAAGACTCCCTGGGATAACACGGCTGACAGTGGCGGACTTCAGCATTCAATATTGACTATGCTCCAGGTCTCGACAACTACCCCCATAGCAACGTCAATAGCAGAGCACCCACGCGCCCGCCTTCTCGAACCAGTGTTGCCTCCACACAAGCACAAGCCGGCGATGCGCCCATACAAAGTCAGTGCGACGAATGCGCCACGGACATCACCCCGCAAGTGCTGACAGACATTCAGGCATTGAGGGCCAGGAAATGGGAGTTACCGGCTCTTCTAACTTCAGACCGGCTACTGGAGCAAACTACGATGCCTCTCAGTGGGCTCTAGTACCAACCACAACCGAAATCATCGCCGACCCTATCCCGAGCCAGCGAAAGCGCGAAGAAGGGCAGCCCGCTATCCTGAAGCCGTCGCCAAACTTCAACTACCTTCCCAACCTCATTCCTATACTCCATTCGATACCGCTGTTCCGAAACGCGCTGCTGTGTCCGGGCGTACTACGCAATGATTACTGGCAGGGCGACAATTGGTGGAAAGGCAATCCCACAGCAACCGCGCGCATCTTCGAAGACGGCACTGGACTTTCGGAAGCTTACAACCTCGAGATACTTCACGAGACACAGCGACTCATGGCATTTCTAGATAATACAGACCGGATTTACGGGTCGGTCAACGGACTGCTCGAGTCGGAGGCTTGGAGAGAGCAACCACCACTTGACGACCCGGACGACGATTTGCTCAAGTTCCTGGTGACGTGGAGTTTCGCCTTCCAGAGCCAGGTCCCGATTGCCGATTTGAACGGTCATCTTAAATCTACCTTCGACGTCGCTGGAACCACTCAAGAGAGCTTTGTGCTTGACGCCGCCGTCACACGCAATAATCTTCGGCCCGACTTCAACTTATACGATGTCCTGGATGATTCACTCTTCGCTTCGGCTGGAGCCAGTGCGCATATTCGCGAAGCGAGTAACGTGCTGATACTCCGCCTGACCTCATCAAATACCCAGACGTCTGACCTGGGATGTCATATTCCAGCCACCCTATACATCGATCGGTACCTCGAGAAGAACAAACATGTCATCGATAGTATGTACAGCGAGATCACGCAGCATGAGGAACAACTAGTCTCGCTCAAGACGCAGGTGGAGAGACTAAAGTACCACACCCCGAAGAAAGCAGGCGCAAAGAAAGTTGAGTCGCTGCAACTGCTCAAAACAAGTATGACTGCGTTTGAGCCTGAAAGTCCTGGTGGTTCTCCCAAGGATACAGAAGTACTAGCTCAACTGCAGGAGCTTTACAACAGCATAGAGAGCAAGCTTGCGACCCTGGAAGAGCAGACCGAACAAGCGCAGAAGGCGATTTTAGGCATCTCTGGGCGATTCAAGCCGCGCGTAGACGGGAGCGCTGACGAAGCCGCAACCACCGACGACCAAAATATGGACACTACGACCGAGATGACCGAGAAGGTGGAAGAGAAGACTTCCGAGCCCGTCGAAACCGTCTACCCAGAAGGCCAAACCCCGGAAGACGCCATGAAGCGCCCATACCAACTCTGGGGCGTAGCTACGCGCAGGGACGTAGTCTACGTCCGCCACCCGGACATCAAATCCGACATCCCCAACGCAACCCAATGGTGGCGCATGCAATACGACAGCGAATCCGCTAATCCCGTGATCCGCCGCGACCCCCTTTCGCTGCAAGAAGTCATTGAGCGCGCCACGACCGAAGCCGGCTCCGCCCTGCTCGTCTACGCGAACGAAGACGCTACCGCCGCCGAGCCCCTGCCGCTGCCCAAACCCCTTCAAGATTTCGCGAAAAAGGATAACCTCAACTTCCTCCACGAGTTACAGGAGAATGCTACAGGATGGGAAGGTTATGGCGATTACGGCAACACAGCAACAGGCGGGTGGGATAACACCAACCCCCCTGCCTTTGAAGACAACGGTTGGAGTGAAATCAGCGCTAAAGAATTCAACAGCAGCAGCCGTCCGCGCAACGATTCTAACATGAGTTCCGCAACGCTAACACCTAATACTGAAATCGACGATGACGCGCCTGTTACGCAGGAAATGATCGAGACGAACCGTAGTGGTGGTGCTGGGACCATGAGCAGCGCCAGTAGCGAGACGGTTGGTCGCGGCGATGACCTCATGGATATTGATGCTGGAGGGAATGAGAAATTGCAGAGTCAGGTCAGGTTCTCGGATGTGGATATGGAGGATGTGGATAGTCAGGAGAGGGCGAGGGTGCAGCGCGTGGATGTGCTGGAGAAGAAGGGTGGTTAGCAAACACCTGGCGGGGTACCTGATAATTGGGATGATGACGATTGGTCGGAAGATGAGCAAGACGTCGATGGTGTGGTTAATCCAAACGAGGACGAGGACGATTGCGACATCCATACGTGGATGAGTCGGCCTTGAGAATGCGGATGCGGATGCATAGCCCGGTGTTCTTCTTTTGAAATGGGTCGCGCTATTAGCGCCTTGATTGGATTCGGTGTTAAGAAGCGAGGGTGGTATCTTTCAGGTGCTTAGTTTATGGAGGTCGTGGATTGGTCGGTTAGTATGACTGGTCGCGTAGGATGTCCACATTCCATGGTTCAAAAAGCTGAGTTTTTTGCATGCGCACGTGTGATGAGGCTATGCTGAAGAGTATATAAACTGCGAAGTTCCCCCCTTCTCTTGCTTTCTTGTTCATCATACCTACACTACATCCTTTTTTACCAAAACATAGCTGGGATCATCTGATGGTTGCCCTGTCCTCCTTTTTGTCAAAACAACCATACACTCACGCCTATGTTCTCAAACCCCTACTAAGAACTATCGACGGCATAGAGCAGTCCCGTCCGCTCTCCTCCAAAAACTATACGGCTCTGTGGCATGACCTTCTCGTCCTGCCGCCGGCTCCAAAATCATATCACAATGGACACATGGACCGAGAACCCGCCCTCGACTCTACAATTCGGGAACAGCCTGGATCAACATCTATGTCTCCTATCTCACCACTCCGGTCGAACATTACCAAAAGCAGGTCGGACACTCTACATGTCTGTTCCTCCGGCCTCCTGTTTCTCGAAACTTAGGCGCAAAGGGCCTATGCTGCGTCCTTCGCTGCCATCACGGTATCCGCCGACGTCCACTTCGCCAAGTACTGGCTCGTCACTCGAAACATCTATCAAGAAAGCATATGTCTGGCGCCTTCTGCATTTCGAAAAATATATCTGTTTCGCAATATGGCGTTGTCCTCGCCGTCCGGAAAACAAAACGGACCCGGTAGGAATGCATGGTTCTCTGCTTCCGGGAGTCCAACAATACCTGACAATTCTGTTATGGTTCCTGCTTTCGGAACTCCGAAAATAAGGTCCAAAGAACATATGTGCTGAGCTGAGCCTTTACACACCTCACCACGACATTGCGCGGTGTTCCCGTCCGAAAACAAGACTGTCGGTTGTCATGGACTGAACCTTTACACACCTCACCACGACATTGCGCGGTGTTCCCGCCCGACTTCAACAAGAGTGAGTGGGCTGTCTGCCGAGTTCCAGCAGTTCATCTTCGAGTACTCGTACCACTAGCGCCCACGTTGCCATCAGGGGTACAGCTCGATCTGTCCGAAAAGATATTTGAAATAGCATATGGCTTTGTCCATCGAAGGTGTCAAGAAAACCAAGCATGAGTCGAGATCCGCGGACGCGCGGGAATATAAACTTCCCTCGACGTCCCGGTTTTTCTCTTCTTCAACACACACTCCGGTTCTTATCTACTAAAAACTATCGCCACTACTACCTATGGTTCCTGCCTCTTCTTGCAAGAAATACTAGAAGACCTCGTATATGCGAGTGGGGCTCCAAAAATCTTCGATGGACTTTTTCATGTGCGGAGAAGACCTCTTGCTGCTAAAACAGGACCATTAAGACGCCATGGTGCCTGTCGTCCCGGCACCTGGAGCCTACTTTGCACCTCACCAACTCAAAATCGACGAGCCTATTCCGTATGTGTTCGGCAACACCTCGGAAGATACTGAAAAGAATCAAAGTATGCGCAGTTGTCGCCATGGACTTTCGGTCTGGAAAAAGACTTGAAGTTCAACATGTGTTGGGCTCGACTGCCAGCTCAACAGTACACCCAGATCAAGAAGTCTTTCTTCCAGATCGTCATGCGCGAGTGGCCTTCTCAGCAGTACATCCAGATCAAGAAGTCTTTCTTCCAGATCGTCATGCGCGAGTGGCCTTCTCAGCAGTACGCCCAAATCAAGAAGTCTTTCTTCCAGCGCGGAGAAACCCGCTTCGACCTCGGGGACGTCTTCTTCTATCGACAACACGCAACTCCACCTATGTTTCACGAAAACAATGACTGCCATTTCCTATGGGATCTGGTTCTTCTGAAAGCAGGGGAGTCGATCTGACATGACCTTCCGTCTCAAAACGCGACCCGATTTGTTTATGTGTGCGCTCCGACCCCGGCATACAACAACACAAATATCGCTTGTTTACTTGCTATGGACGGGTCGCCAACGGCACCTTCTGGCGTGCTCAAGAGCTCACACGCGCTATTGGCCAAGTCTTCAACTGTAACCCGCCTCAGTTCGATGGCTTCCTGCGCTACTCAAAAGATGAGAAGAGACAAGCATGGCTTTCTGGTCTGGAGGAACGAGGGTGCTGACGGATGCTGGGGTTCTACTTCGATGTATATAAAAGGGCTATCGTCTTCGCTTTCTACTACCTGTATTCTACACCTGGGGTTTCTTCTTACCAAAAGGCCGTAGCACTTCGCCTATGTTGTTCTGCTCTTCTCAAAAACAGTATCATAGACTTCGATGGCTTCTCGGTCTAGGACATTGGCATATTCGATAGATAACATAGTTCGAATTCAACTCATATCAAAAATAAACCGTTATCTTATCACATAGCTACAATCCTATGTAATTTTTCTTCTTATTAAAAACTAGATGTACACACTTAATAACATCCCGCTCTTCTTAACAGTGCTATCTTAGTATACAATAGCGTCTTAGACTAAAACAATAATCCTAACTATAGATAGCAGAGTCTGACCTTATCCTCGCATATAAAGCTACTTTTGTTCTTACCTTCTTTCTTTAATATACTATACACTTTCTCTTTCTTTATACTAAAAAAAATAGATTAAGGCTTATAGTAATTAACTTTTTAGAGATCTTTTTTTAGTATTTTTAACAAATTATATTATACTAAAGATACTAGACTTTTAGCTATAATAACTCTACTAATAATACTTTTCTCTACTTTCTCTTCTTCTTTTATCTCTTTATTATTTTTATTTATCTATTTTTATTTAATTTATTCTTATATAGTATTTTATTAATTAGTAAATAGCTAAACTAGAATTAAGCTAAGTATTACTTATATTTACGCTATACTATTTTCTTCTTAAAAATACTTTTTAAATAGTTCTTCTTTATTACTAAGTATCTAATTTTTTCTTCTTTATTTAAAAGCTTTTAGAGCTTTAATATACTACTTTATAATAGAGAAGAAGTCTATTTCTTTTTTTTATAAAATATAATATCTAGCTATATAAATATTTATAGCGTTATTATTATTTATAGAAACTATTTTATTTATATTATATATAACTTAAATATACTTACTATATAAACTAACCTACTAGTAATTTTAGTAGTATTAGTATTAAATAATAGAGTTAGTTAAATACTAGATATATAATATTAAACTATAATTAGATATATTATTTTAAAAGACTAAAAATAAATTACTACTAAGCTATAATAGTAATTCTAAAGTATTTATACTTAAAGCTAAGTTAGCTTAGGCCTTTATAGACTAGAACTTAATATTATCTTCTCTTTTAGAGTAGATTACTTTTAATTTAGCTTAAGAAATAAGTAATAAATAGATAAAAGTAGCTATAGCTTAAAATAGTTTATTTTAGTCTATTCTAGTCTATAATAGCCTATACTAAGTAAAAGTAGATATAATATACTTATAGGTAATAAAAATGCTAGTAAGAAAATTCTAGTAATTATAGAAAATTATAAGATTATATATAAACGCGCGCTTAGCTACTACTTATACTAGTAGTACTAGCGTTAGCCTATACGCCTAAAATACTTCTAGCTAGTTAGATTTTTTTTTTCTATTTCTCTACTCTATAATACTTTAAGTTTATAAGTATTACTTTATTTAAAGCTAAAACTTAAAAATAATTAGTTAGCTTAAAATACTTTATTCTAGCTTTTTTAGAAGTAAAATAGAGTATTTTAGACTAAATTAAAAAGTTTTAGTATAACTTATACTAAAATAATACTAACTAAACTATAAAGAGTAACTTATACTTATTAATATTTACTTTATACTTCTATACTACTTATTTACTTATACTTACTTTATATACTTTATACTAGCTTTTAATAGTTTAATTTAAGCTATTTTATACTAACTTTTACTATATTAGATAATAACTATATTTATATATTTAACTACTATATAAAGAAGTTTTTAAAAATAAGCTTTACTTTTTATACTAGCTATATTACCTCTTAGTTAAAAAATAGTAACTATACTTTTAGTACTATTAGCTACTACTTTTCTAAGCTTACTAATAATAATATTTATAATATCTTTAGTAGTATAATTAAAAATATTACTACTTTAGAGAATAGCTTTACTATCTAGACTATTTAGTATAAATAGTACTAGGCTTATAGTTATAAGTGCTTCTCTATAAGTTTCTTTTCTACTTTTTTTTACTCTATTATAGCTTTTATTAGCTTTTTTTACTTTATTTTAAGTATAAAGGTAGTAAATAGCTCTATAATAAGTAGACTTAGTATATTCTAGCTCTTTTTAGACTATTTTAAGCTATTACTAACTAAAAGTAGCTTTTTAAGAAACTTCTAAACTATAATAAAATATACTAGATTCTAAAGTAAATAGAAACTAGAAAAAAGCCTACTACTACTACTAATAACTTCTTTCTTTTTATTAGCTTTATTAAAAATCTACTTAATAATAGTAAAACTACCTAAGCTATAGCTATTACTACTATTATTTTACTTACTCTAGTTAACTTTACTAATACTATATATAAGAATTTATAGTATACTTTAGTATATTAGTACTATTAAGTTAAAAAGCGTATCTAGAAGTATATTTTAGCTTATTTTAGTTCTTTTTAGTCTACTTTAGTTTTTTATAACTCTATCTAACTCTTTTAAGTCTAGTAGAGTATTTATAGTATTTAAGTAGTCTATTCTAGTTTAATATAGTCTATTTTAGACTATTTTAACTAATAATAGTAAGTATTACTTTTTTTTATAGAATAAAATATAGTTCTATATAAATACGCTTTATTTACTTAAGGCTTCTAAGTCTAGCGCTTAATTTAATAAGAAATCTAAGTTTAGTAAAAAGTAAAATATATTCTTTAAAAATATTAATACTATATTTACTAAGTGTACTCTAGAAGTTAAGTAAAAGTTAAAAAAAAGTATTTCTTTTAAGTAAGCTATAAGTAACTTTAATATACTTTAATATACTTTAATAAACTTTAATAAGCTTTATTATAAGCTATTTTAGTTTTTAGTTAGCTATTATTAGCTCTTTTAATACTTTTTACTTTACTTTACTCTATTATAGTCTATACTAATCTATTTAGTAGTATTTTAGCTAAAAGCCTACTACTATAGCTATTAGAAGTACTATTATAACTTTTAACTCTAAAATCTCTAGCTTAGAGTAGTAGTACGTAAAGGTAGCTAAGAACTTTAAGAACTCTAGAAGTATTAAGCTTAGTTTTACTTTTAAGATTAATAAAAAGAAGTAAAGAATTATAGATTTTTAGGCTAGTATTATCTAGATACCTTTAGTATAGCTTTTAGTACTTTTTTTTAAGCCTTTTTAGTCTTTTCTAGAGTAGTATAAAGTTTACTAGTGTATATAAGTAAGAATTAGTTTAGAATAAGTAGTACTAGTCTACTTTAGCTTATTATAGACTATTATAGTATAGTTAGAAGCTTTTAAGTAATATTTAGATAGAAATTTCTTTATAAATATAAAAGTCTTTTATAATAGTTAAAGTTATTTATTTATATAAATTTATCTAAAGTATAATATTTTATTTTTTAAAACTAATTATAAAGTCTAAAGAACTATTAACTTTACACTAGAAAGAGTTAGAGTAAAATAGCTTATACTAGGCTCTTTTAGACTATTAGAGGCTATTCTAGTTTAAAATACTATTAAATACTTTAAAAAACTCTATATAAAGAAAAAAAGTAAAGATATACTCTAGTTTATACTAGAATAGCCTATTATAGCTTAACTTAACTTATTCTTTCTTCTTATAAAGCTATTTATAGTATTACTTCTTAGACTAAGCTTTTAAAAACTTTCTATATTATTATATACTTTTTTTATTTTAGAACTTCTATAGTATATTAGCTAAGATATTTAGACTTAGTTTCTATAAGTTTTCTTTTTCTAAGTACTTAATCTATTTAATTAGGTATTTTTATTAGTTATTTTTATTATACTATTTTTTAATAATATATTTTACTTTATATATATTATTACTAAATTCTCTTAAAGTATTCTATTTAGGCGCTTTAAAGTATAGAATAGTACTTTTTAAATTAAAAGGCTCTAAAAAAGATATATAGAATACTAGATAAATACTATTAAGTTTTAGAAAGTTAACTTAGAAAACTAAGAAACTAATCTAGTTTATAATCTTTTTAAGTTCTAGAAACTTCTAATTTAGCTTTTTTTTTAAGTAAGTACTTTTAATATATTAGTTAAAGACTAAGACTTAGTTTTCTACTTTAAAAAGTATTAGTGTATAATACTTATTAGTATACTTTTTCTAGTAAGTATTTACTACTTTAATATTTTTATAGTACTTTTACTATAGTTTAATTATTTATTTAGTAAAGCTAGCTTTTATAAAGCTTTTTTTTTTACTAAAAGCTAAATTAAGCTAATTTACTTTATAAAAGTACCTTTTATAGTAAATCTAGAAGAAAGTAATTCTAGTAGTAAAGTAGATACTATTATTATATATAAACTTTTTAATAAATATCTAGCGCGCTTAATTATTTTATTCTAGAAAGTAATAGTAGTAAAAGTACTACTCTAAAGTCTAGTTCTACTTTTTAGTTTAACTATTAGTTTAAGAATAAAAAGTAGAAGTAAGAACTTTTTTAGTATTAAAGTAGTAAAAAAAAGTATTTTAATACTTAGAGTTTATTAAAAAGCTTTAATCTAAGATTATATACTTTAGTATACTATATAGTTAAATAACTTTATATATCTAGGCCTATACTAAGTTAGTACTATTCTAATTAGTTTATACTAGTACGTAATAGACTATTTTAGTTAATTTATCTATAATAACTAGTATAGTATT